CGAAAAAGAAAAAGAAGAAACAAAGGAAAAAGCGGAAATGTGCTTAGCGAGAGAGAGAGAGAGAGAGGATTAAATTAAAGGGAAAGAAAATGGTGGTTGTTGTAGAAGAGAGATTTAGCGGAGAAATGCCGCTTAATTTTTCTTCTGTGAAGGAAAGGAAAAGAGAGAGTAAAGTGGACTGAGATTGAGAGAGAAGATGATGGGAGTGTGTGGTTAAGGTGGTTATGGAATTACCCACCTGTTTTGGTTAATTTACGAGGTTGGCCACTATGACTTTCGTTTTCCTTATCTGTAACTGCGCTCTATTTTACTCTGTTCGCATGTACCGTTAACAGGCGCACACTGATGATTGGATATTGTGGATTTGGAGTCATTGAATCGGGAGCCGAACCCTTTTAGATTATTTTCCTTTTTCGTCCTTTTTTAAAAGAGGTAAAAAAAAAAAAGAAAAAACTTTTCTCGGTGAAGTACATCAAAACTAAGGGTGAAAAGTTTAGATCTAAGTGTTAAAATTTATTATATCCATGTCAATTGTCAATTATTCATCCAACGTTTACTCTACAACAACTTGTGAATCTATCTCTTATATGAGTTCAAATGAAAATATTATAATAAGAAAGAGTAGAGCAATCTCATCAACTTGAAGTTTGATAGTTGTATTTATGTATATTTATGAACGAATAATTATTTGAATATTTTGTTTCCAAGAATATACAATATTTATAAAATAAATATAAAAATAATTAATTTCATGTTTAATTTGAATAAAAATATAAACGAGTATATTATTCTTTTTTTAAATATTTTAACTCAAATTTTATAAATATTTGATTAAATTTTTAAATTGCTATCTGAGTCCGTACATAGAATATTCTAGACCTTCCCCATCAAAAACATGTATTCGTTGAATACCTTAATCAAACTAAATTTAAAATTAATTTTTAGGTATATTATTAATAAAAATAAAATTAATAAATTAAAATTAACTCATAAAATAAAAATTAAAGTTTAAAATATACTAGAACAATTAATGAATTTTAATAAATATTACATTAATGTAAAAAAATTTATAAATAAAAATTAAAGTTAATATTAAAAATTATTATTTATAATCAAATTTAGATAGTGAATATCGTAAAAGTATTACTTCGAATTTGTAATCATTAATAACTTTATTATTTAAATCCAATTATAAAACACCCTAATCTTACTTCACCAGATCAAGTAATACGAGTTCCAGATTAAAAAATTCTCACTGACATCCCTAAATTTAATCTCTTTTTCCATTAACGAATTAGCAATACATTCAATGATGATAACGATAGTTATTGAACTTTCAGCATAATGCTTGTCTAAGTTGACTGGTTTGAAGATCAAGAATACTAACCCACGTTGTAAGGAAAACGTGAAGTTACCTTCCCTTAAACCTTAATGTAAGGCCATCAGATTAGAAATTCAACTACTCCCCTTGTTCTTTCATGCTTATCACATAATCCAATATATACCTACTTTAAACTTAAAAGGGATATTTAAAAGGCTTGCCAATAAATACGTGGATTCAAAAGTCATACTATCTAATAGTATTATTTTACCATCATTAAATGATTGTTTGACAAAATTAATATTGAATTTATTATTATGGAATTATGTTAAGGTGGTGTTTGATATTTTATAATGTAATGTGATTATTATAATATAATTATTTGAATATGATTATTGAAAAAATACCATTACAATGTTCGGTATGAATAAAAAAGTGCTGATTAAAATATTAGAAATATAACATTATAATGTTTGATTTATAAATACTTTATTAAAAATGTGATGTTAATTTTTAAAATTACTCTATGAAAATACAAATTTAATACACTTACATGCTTTTTATAATTGAATTAATTAAATAAGATTTGCATTATAATTAAATTAGTTTAATTAATTAAATGGTATTTACATGCATAGAATGTTACTGCCTTCCCTCATATCAAATATTCCCTAATTATTAAATAAAAGAACAACACTAATTATCTTTTACAAGTTGTCGTTAAAATTCCAAAATTACAAAAAAAAAAGTGAAAAATATGCAATTGAGTTTCTGAGATGTTAGTAAATAGATTTAAATGATCTACGCTGCATATAATTAGAACAACCCCCAAGAATTTTGTAGTATTTATTCTAAAAATTTTACATTAATCTTATTTCATCTAACTCAAAACTTATTTTGAGTGTTTATTCTACTTCTAAGAAGAATATGATGTAAAATTTTTTTAAAAAAAAAAAACCTAATTTTTCCCTAGAGTCTAGAGTACCCTCTTGATTTATTTTAGCTTAGAATTCTATCAACATCCAGGGTTTCTTTTTCACCTCTAACTTAACAAACAAAAAGAGATGATATTTTTATATTATGTTCATATAATCCAATCATTTGGAAAATTGCTAAAATCCCCATTTGCTTAACCCCAAAGCATTACTTGTCCTATATGTCTATTATAGTCAATTCAATCTTACCTAATTAATAACGAAGATATTATATTAAATCATAAAATCTTTTGTAAGCTTATGAATGGATCAATTTAAGTATGCAAGATTAGAACTAGAGCTCAATTCAATTTCTTATTTGAGTTAACTAAACTTAACAATAAAACAAGTTTATAACAATTAGCAAATTTGTTTTGTGATACTCCATGGTATATAAGATGCGAAAGTGATTGTCAAAATCTATGTAAAGATTCAAGTCAATCATTATTAACGACTTGAATTTAAACGTTTGAAAGTCCCATAATTTAAATTTGAAAACTTACTCGAATTGTGATACTTGGATCCGGATCATTATAATTAATATTAGAACATATATTATTTTGGTGTGAGTTTTCACGTTATGCTGTAAGATTTTGATCTTATGAAATAAGCTTAAATTGTAATTATGATGTTGCGACTTTAATGAGAATATCAAAAATTTAAATTGATGGAATTTTGATAAAGATGTTTATAGAAGTTCAAATTAATCACTACTACAAACTTGATTTTAAACTTTTGAAAGTGATTTACACTCGAACAATTGTTGGATTAACTTAACTCAGATCGTTACAAGTATTGAGTTGTTTTCTTTTTAAAAAAGATTAGCTGAAGATTCCAAGTAGCTTAATTAGCGTTTGTGGTATTTGTTGGGTTGGTTAGGTTTTTTCATTTTTTTTTTCTTATATTATCTATATAAGAATCTATTGGGGTTTGGCTGCGCCCCCAACCGAACCAGATTCAAGCATCCGAGGAGACCAAGAAGTCGAAACAAGACAATTACTACATTAACCCTACAAGATAAGTGTGATTGGAATAGCTTTTTGAAATTGAGCAGCCGATACAAAGTTTTACCAGAAATTAGTAACAAATTGTTTGTTCACGGGTCATTCAGTTCATCATTCTAATCATGGTTAATGGAAGTTTTAGAAAGGAAATTAGATTCAAACCAGGCCATGATTTTGATTGGGCAAAGGTATAAACAAGAAAAGCCTAACTTCTTGACAAAGCCAAGCCAACTACCCCCTTTTGGACATAACTGAAGAAAAGGATTCCAAAAGCATTTCGTGTCCACTTCCACTTTGATTTTATCATGTTGGGGTGCACCCCCCTCTAATAATTTACATAAATTAATCAATTCAGTGTTATTAATAGCTGAAAAGCCTTTACAGGTTGTGGATCATCTTGATATGTTGTTGGATGGATAGACTCACTAAACTTGGGTGCCCTTCAACAGTGCCTTAGCCGCCAATTATATGATGCCGTAATTGAGATATTATGAAGCTTCAGTTCACTTGGCTTTCTTGATTGTGCATACAAAGTTCAATTTGGAAGACCCGAAATTGACAACTCATGCAGATGTGAAAGCATGTTCAAAGGTATATGAACTTCAATACGGATTGAAAGAGAATAAGAAACCCTTAGATAATGTTTTTGGTTCATTCCAAGGATCACTCCATTTAACTCTTTCTATTTGTTTATTTCTCATTTATATTGCTATATTGATTATTTCTCATTTGTGAATATATCATAAATTGAAAATTCAAAAAACAAAGGAGAGATTTTTATGTGTGAAAATTTTATTTTTTATATTATATAAAATTTTTGCTTTAATTAATCTTGATTATTTTATATTATATTAATCTTAGTAACAATAATTTGTAGTGATATGATCTCTATGAAAAAGTTTGAATAAAAATAATTAATGATACTTTGTTGACAAAAAGAATAATAAATAAAAAGATGAAAGAAAAATAATGATACTTTGTAAGATTGATCTCATGAGAAGAGGATAATATTTTTCAAGTGGGATTGATCTCGAGGTTTATGAAATCGATCTCACATAGAGAAGGTATACAGAAAATGTTTTACATTTTTTTTTAAATATAAGACATTTTACATTGATTAACACAATTTTTTTGACTTGGGAGAAAAAGTTGAATATTTTTTTTTTTTCAAAAAAGCTTTTCAATCTTACCAAAGGAATTAATTGTGGGACTTTTATTTCTGAATGAATAGGTTATATTACTGGATAAGATATCATAGTTTTTTCTCTTCTTTTTCAATCATTCCCTCGTGGTCTGTCTTTTAGACAATTTTGGAGTTTGTTGGGTTTTTCTTCTTATCCCAAGGTTCTTGATTTTCTAGTGTTTTTGGATTTTGTTCAGTCCAGGTCTTGTATTCTTAAGTCGCTGTTCCTAGGATGAGTCTTCTCCATGTACTTGGGTTTGGTTTGCTGGATAGCATCTATGATTCCATAAACTGGTCCATTAAATGGTGAATTTAAGGCCACAAGGCTAGGCTCCCTTGTGGTCCAAATGCTTGGATAAAATCTCTAGCTATAGTGATTCCAAGAGAGGATCAGACTCACAGTTAAGAATTATGACAAAAAAAAATGCTCTATATTTTCGGATTCTAAATAACAATTTAAAATTTCAAGTCTAATGTTGAGAAATAAAAATTTCAAGATGCAATAAACAAAATAACTATCAACTAATTAGTATCCAACATTCTAGAATAAGCCAATAGATAAATCAAATAAAAGGCCAAAAAAAAAAAGAAAATTAATCTTTTATCACCGTAACAAGGATACGTGCTTTACATCGGGGTCAGTGGAGCAAAAGGGGAACGAGGTCTCTCTTTGAAAGCTAGAAAGTAGAATAGGATGGACCAC